CCAAACCAACTCATATCCAAGATATCAAGCCCCCCGTCCAAATGCTCCAAATTATCGTCAAATGTCTCTTCCTCCTCAACAAGGCAATTATGATCCCCCCCGTCCTAGATTTGAGAAGAAGCCCGCTAGAATTTTCACTCCGCTCATTGAAAGCCGAACAACGTTGTTCGAGCGATTAACTGTTGCATGATATATTCATCTAGTGGGGCCCAAACCGGTTGACACTAGCTCAAGGTTTTACAGATCTGATCAGAGGTGTGCGTATCACTCCAACTATGTTGGACATGATATCAAAGACTATATCAACCTAAAGAACAAGATCCAAGACCTGATTGACTAGAAAGTGGTCTCTCTCCAGACAGCGCGCCCAATGTCAATAGTAATCCTTTGCCAAATCATGGAGGCGTCACTATCAATATGATAGAGACGGATGATGATTGGTGCGTGACAAAAGAAATAGTTTCGATCACTCCTGATGAACTGGAAATGGATGTAGCTTTGTTGAGCATTAGAGAGAAGAAAGAGTTTGTGATTCTGACACCCGAGAAGGTTGTTGCCTTGGTGCTAAGAGAAACATTTGCCCGACCAAAGTTTGTGATTGAAACGGCTGCTACCCAGGCTATGACCAGATCCGGTAGGTGCTATACACCAGAAGAGATAGCCCGGGGTGTGTAGAAAAAGGATCAGTCTAAAAGGCCGATTAGTGAAGCTGAAACAGAAGAGTTCGGGAGAAATATGCAACCAAAAGATTACTCAATCGTGAAGCATCTGGAGAAAATACCCACTCAGATTTCCGTGTGGGCCTTGTTGATGAGTTCACAACTACATTGGCAAGCTTTGCTGAAGGCTTTGGATGATACTTACGTGCCTGTGGAGGTACTAATAGTGATAATCTGGCGGCCATGATAAACCAAGTCATTCGAGGGCACCACATCAGTTTTTGTGACGAAGAGCTGCCCTTTGAAAGCAAGATGCACAACAAAGCTCTGCACGTCACCATTATGTGCCGAGACAAGGTCGTAAACCGTATCTTGGTCGTTGAAGGATCTGGTCTCAATATTTTCCCACTTTCGACTCTGAAGCAACTAAACTTTGACTTGGGAAAGGTTCACCAGAACCAAGTCAATGTGAGAGCTTTTAATGGAGTGCAAAGAGACACGTTGGGTGAGGTGAACTTGGATATTCAGATGGGTCCTACAGAATTCAATGTGGAGTTTCAGGTGTTGGATATCAATACGAGTTACAATTTTCTTCTGGGAAGACTATGGATCCACATGGCTGGGGCTGTGCCTTCTAGCCTTCACCAACTAATGAAATTTATTTGGAAGGACCATGAATTGGTCATTCATGGCGAAGGGAGCCATTCCAATGGGTATCCGTCGATCGTTGATGAGGTCTCCCGAGGTTGTGATTTTTACACGGTGGAGCTGGTAAATCCACCGGTGATGACTTGGCTCCACAACCTTCTATGCCTTCGGTGTACAAGATGATTATTGTTGTTATGCTCCGGAGCGGTTTCGAACCAGGTTTCGGGTTGGGGAAGCATTTCCAAGGAGTTGTTGAGCCTATTCAAATTCCTGTCAAAGGAGCAAAGTTTGGTTTGGGGTATGTCCCCGCAGACGATGATGAAGCAGAGGTGGTGAACAAAAATGTTAATCATGTATTGGCCAGGCCGATACCTCATTTGTACCGGTCATTCCCGGTGCGAGAATATGTCAAGGATGATGGTCTTAGGGAAGGAATCTGAGGCCTGTTCGAAGAAGCTGACGCAATCATTGAGGATGAAGCCGGAACCTTAGGAATCCGCGATGTTGAGCCAGAGGAGCAATTGCAGAATTGGACCGCTACACCACTCCTGATTCCCCGTGCAACTTGGTAGAAAAGACATGTGCTTTTGTTTATTTTGAAAACCGGTGGTAGTTTGGAAGAGTCTCGGGACCCACCCTTTACGCATATCTTGTTTGTTTTAGTTTTTGAATTTCTCTGTGGTGTTTCAAAAGGCTATATGGCCCTTGGTCATGGCTAAAGTTTATTCCAATTTGTTAATTTAAATGAAAAACCTCTCTTATCAAAATCCTGTTTATTTACTTATTTGTTTACGTTTACTTTCCTAACTTTGTTTGTTTATGATTTTAGTAATAATAATTTAAAACCTGTCAATGTCATGTCATCATGTCACGAGCCGAACGAACAAAATGAGGCAAGTGATGATGAATGCGGGGAATATGAAGATGAAAATGTGGTGCCTGAACATGTTGCTGAAGAGTTTAGGCAATTTGAGAACCAGTACAAGCCGAATCTTGAGAAAACTGAGACTGTTAATCTTAGAGATGAGAAATGTGTCAAAGAAGTGTCAGAATCAGTGTCCATCTGACTGAAGCTCAAAGAAGGGACTTGGTCCATTTTCTGAGAGAATACATCGACGTATTTGTCTGGTCTTATAGAGATATGCCAGGGCTAAGTACGAACATGGTGTCTCATAAACTGCCGATCAATCCAGATTTCGCTCCTATGAAGCAGAAGACTCGAAAATTCAATCCTGAGTTGAGTTTGAAGATTAAAGAGGAGATTACGAAGTAGATTGAGTCCAAAGTAGTGGAAGTGATGCAGTATCCGACTTGGCTGGCCAACATTGTTCCGGTTGCCAAGAAAGACAGAAAAATCAAAATTTGTGTCGATTATAGAGATCTCAACAACGCAAGCCCGAAAGATAATTTTCCATTGCCAAACATCCACATTCTCATTGATAATTGTGCTAAGTATGAGATGCAGTCATTTGTAGATTGTTATGTGGGTTATCACCAGATCCCGATGGATGAAGAAGATGCAAAAAAGACAGCTTTCATTACACATTGGGGTGTATATCATTATCGGGTGATGCCTTTTAGAATCAAAAATGTCGGTGCTACTTATATGAGGGCTATGACCACCATATTTCATGATATGATTCACAAAGAGATCGAGGTGTATGTAGATGATGTCATAATCATGTCCTGTGAGAGTTAGGATCACTTGACTCATTTAAGGAAGTTCTTTGATCGCCTGCATCGATACAATTTGAAGTTAAATCCCGCCAAATGTGCTTTTGGAGTACCGGCTGATAAACTGTTGGGATATGTAGTAAGTAGAAGGGGCATTGAACTTGATCCTTCCAAGATCAAGGTAATTCAAGAATTACCTCCTCCGAAGACCAAAAAAAGAGGTGATGAGTTTTCTGGGAAGGTTGAACTACATTAGCCGGTTCATAGCTCAATCTACCGTGGTGTGTAAGCCCATCTTCAAGTTGTTGAAAAAAATGCCTTGACCAAGAGAACTGGAGAATGTCAAACTGCTTTTGATGCCATCAAGAACTATTTGTCCAATCCACCGGTGTTGGTTCCTCCACGGGAAGGAAGTCCATTGTTACTATATATGTCTGTCTAGAATAACGCATTTGGATGTGTGCTTGGTCAACATGATGAGACTAGGAAGAAAGAGCAAGCCATTTATTACTTGAGCGAGAAATTCACTCCATATGAGGCTCGTTACACTCTTTTGGAGAGGACATGTTGTGCTTTGACTTGGATTGCTCAGAAGTTGAGACATTATTTGTCTTCTTATACCACATACCTAATTTCCAAAATGGACCCATTGAAGTATATTTTCCAGAAAGAAATGCCGACCGGGAAGTTGGCTAAATGGAAATTGCTTTTGAGTGAATTTGACATTGTGTATGTGACTTAGAAGGCGATAAAAGCATAAGCCTTAGCTGATCATCTTGCGGAGAATTTGGTTGATGAAGAGTACAAACCACTCAAAACTTATTTTCCCGATGAAGAAGTAGCATTTGTGGGTGAAGATATTTCTGAAGTGTACGCTGGTTAGTATCAGAAATTGGTCAGCACTCTCCTATGGCGGCTAAACTCTGATATGATTGCACAAACAACATGGCTGAGTATGAAGCTTGCATTCTCGGTCTGAAGATGGCAATTGATATGAGCGTTCATGAGTTGTTGGTTATTGGAGATTCAGATTTGCTAATTCACCAAGTTCAAGGAGAATGGACCGTGAAGAACCCAAAGACCACACCGTATGTGCGGTATATATAGAAGTTGTGCAAGAGATTTTGCAAGATTGAGTTCAGGCACACTCCCAGGAAACACAATGAGCTGGACGATGCTCTTGTCACCATCGCATCAATGAGTTGGACGATGCTCTTGTCACCATCGCATCAATGATTAAACATCTAGATACAAATTATATTGATCCATTGGATATAGAGGTAAAAGAGCAGTCTGTCCATTGTTCACATGTTGAAGCGGAACCAGACGGTTTGCCTTGGTGTTTTGACATCAAGAAATACTTGGACACCGAAATTTATCCTGAGAATGCAACGTTCAATCAGAAGAAGTCGATACGCCGCATGGCCCTCAATTTCTTTCCAAGCGGGGAAAATCCTTTATAGGAGGACTCCAGATTTAGGCATTCTCAGATGTGTCGATGCTATTGAGGTTGCAAAGCTCCTTGAACAAATACAAGTCGGGGTTTGTGGTACTCATATGAATGGACTCACTTTGGCTAGGAAGATCATTCGAGCCGGTTATTTTTGGATGACTATGGAACATGATTGTTGCAAGTTTGTGCAGAAATGTCATAAATGTCAAGTGCATGGTGATTTGATTCGAGTCTCACCTCACAAACTCAATTCTATGAGTTCATCTTAGCCATTTATTGCCTGGGGCATGTATGTCATTGGTCCCATAGATCCAATCGCTTCTAACGGATACAGATTCATTTTGGTTGTCATTGACTACTTCTCCAAGTGGGTGGAAATAGCTTCATATAAGTCAGTGACCAAGAAAATTATAGATGATTTTGTTCGCAACAATTTGATATATAGGTTTGGAGTTCCAAAATCCATCATTACTGATAATGGAGCAAATCTCAAAAGTCACTTGATGAGAAAGATATGTGAACAATTCAAGATTACTCATCGAAACTCAACCGCCTATCGCCCCTAAATGAATGGAGCTGTAGAAGCCGCCAACAAGAACATAAAGAAGATTCTGAGGAAAATGATTGATAATCACAAAGGTTGGCATGAGATGTTGTCGTATGTTTTGTTGGGTTACCGAACGACTGTCAGAACGTCAGTTGAAGCTACTCTATACTTGTTAGTATATGGAACTGAAGCAGTTATACCTGCCAAAGTTGAAATACCTTCGTTCAAAATCATTCAGGAAGCTGAGCTAAATGATGTTGAATGGGTTCGCAAGCGGATTGATCAGTTAACATTGATCGATGAGAAGAGAATGGTTGTTGTTTGTCATGGTCAACTTTATCGACAGAGAATGATTCGTGCTTTCCACAAGAGAGTAAGAGACAGAATATTTGAAATTGGTTAGTTGGTTCTCAAACGCATTTTCTCTCATCAGGATGAGTACAAAAGGAAATTTGCACCAAATTGGCAAGGACCCTACATGGTCCGCAAAGTGTTATCTGGAGGTGCCTTTGTCCTGTCAGAGATGGATGGCATCGAATGGCCAAAACCGATCAACTCAGATGCTGTCAAGGGATATTATGTGTGAAGTTTCAGTTTGTATTTTGTGTCATTTCCTTGTAATGGTTCTATTTGCTTGTAATTTTTGTTTAAAACTTTATCCCTTTTGTAATGAACTACGTCTGACCTGAATTCTCAAGAATGAGATACATAGGCGGCCTATGTCGGCCTTGGTCACCCCTTTATCCCTTTTTAATATTTCTTCCTTTTGTACATGAACTACGTATACCTGAATTATCAAGAATGAGATACATAGACGGCCTATGTCGACCTCGGTCACCCCTTTATTCCCTTTTAATATTTCCTTATACTTGAACTATGTTAGACCTGAATTATCAAGAATGAGATACGTAGGCGGACTATGTCGGTCTCGTCGGTTCCTTGTTTAAATTTCCTATTTTTGATAATCCTCAAGAAGGGGAACTACGTTTGACCTAATTCCTGCCTCAACGAGATATGTAGGCGCCACAATGGCTTGGTCATATCTCTCGTTAATAATTTCTATTTTTTTACAATGGAAACTAGGATAGAATTTTTGAGAGGATCCCAAAAATTCTGTGATTTGCTCACCAACGGTTAAAAATAAGACAAGACAGTTAACTGGGACAGAAATTTTTGAAGATGACCTCAAAAATTTCAATAAGGTTCATTGGCAGTTTAGAGCAACTTTGAATACTTCCCAACAAACAATCAAATAGACTTCGAGACATCAACTTCATAAACATTCATTAAGCTTGACGTGACATGATACTTGGCAGTGACCTTTTCCAAATATTATTTTTCGAAAATCTATTTTCCTTAAAGCTTTTATTTCTTGTCTCAATTATTTTTGCGTAAAAATATTTTGTCTTATCTATCAAGAAACGGGAGATCGGAAAAATCAACTGGAGATAGCAAGACAAGGAGCAGACAACTGACGAGATCGGTACAGATCAGTTCATTTTAAAATAACAATTTTTCTGTGGATGCAGGAAAAGTTTTATGCTTCTTATAGCAAAGAATTGGGAATATGAGTAGCATTATTTCATTCAAATTCTCAACAAGGCAAGGTCCATAATGATTATGCAATTATGTTTGGAGATCGAACAAATGAAAACCTCGAAGAGATAAATTTTATTTGTTTTCCAACAACTATAGATACCTGGAGGACATTTATCGGCGTCATATTATCAGATATGATAATATTACTCCTCTAAGGGTCATTTATATTGTATTGCGATTGAGATGATACCATTACCCGGAGAGTCATTCATATCATATTGTCAAATGAGATGATACCACTACTCCGAGGATCATTTTATTGTATTATCAATTGAGACAATACTGCCACCCAGAAGATACCCAGAAGATCACCTATGTTACTCGGTGAAGCATTATCTTTGTTTGGTACCGGGGATGGCATCAAGAGAAAGAAGTCATACATAGCAAGAGAAAGAAGTCATACAGAGCAAGAGAAGGAAACAATGCATCGCAAGAGAAGGGAACCATGCATCGCAAGAGAAGGAAGTCATGCATAGAAAGAGAAGGAAGTCATGCATAGCAAGAGAAGGAAGTCATAAATAGCAAGAGAAAGAAGTCATATACAACAAGAGAAGGAAGTCATGCATAGCAAGAGAAGGAAGTCATGCATAGCAAGAGAAAGAAGTCATATACAACAAGAGAAGGAAGTCATGCATAGCAAGAGAAGGAAGTCATACATAGCAAGAGAAAGAAGTCATATAGAGCGAAGTCATGCATAGCAAGAGAAAGAAGTCATGCATAGCAAGAGAAGGAAGTCATGTATAGCAAGAGAAGGGAACCATGCATCGCAAGAAAAAGAGGTCATGCATAGCAAGAGAAGGAAATCATGCATCGGAAGAGAAAGAAGTCATACAAATAAAGAGAAGGAGATCATGCATAGCAAGAGAAGAAAATCGTGCATCGCAAGAGAAAGATTCATTTATCTCAAAAAAGGAGACGATGCATCTCAAGAAAATCAACATCAACTGCATCATTTTCATTTGCAAAAACAGTATCAAGAGAACCATCAGCAACAACGTCAAGAGGGACTATCAACATATTACATCAGCCTATTATATTACTTCAACATCAAAAGAAGAGTACATTGAAGATTATATTACAAACATGAAATATGAGCTTTATTTGCTTCACGTCAGAATGGAGAAAACTGACATCAAATGGCCAAGGAAAGAAATTAAGTGTCAACACGGTAAAAGACACTATCTCCCCATTTGAATTACATTTTTATGCTAATGAGTTTTATCTGATTCTTTATCGAGAGCATCCCAAGAGGGTAAATTCTCAAAGAAAACCACAGGTGTGGATGACATCAAAAGGATGTAGCACAACATGAAACTTTTTCTTAGCAGCGAACTAGGACATAGTCCAAAGAGGAAAGCCAAACTCTTAGGACGCGAGCAGGGGAGCGACTTTGACCATAATCAAACCACACCCCTATCTGAAGGCATGTGGGTTTTCTTTAAGTTTATCAGTTTCAGTTTTGCATCCGGAAGTTTTGGTTCCACCGGAGGCATCTTTCCAATCCAACTGACAATGCACCAAGGGCTTTAGAAATTATGTCCATGTAAATTCTTAATTATGGGTGTGAAGCATGCCACATTCATGGCTGTGAAGCATGCCACATTCATGGCTGAGAGGTTGCAAGCCTCCTTTTCATACTCGACTTACTTTGTCACTTTTCCCGAACCAAAGGATATCTTAGCATAAAAGATTTCCTTCTCAACCGATTGAGTTGAACTACAAGTCACCTGATTCCCTAAGTTGAGTGATATGTAGGCGGGATCAGTGTTGAAAACTCAGTTGTATTCCAATATTTTCTCTCAAATCTTATTCCCGAGCATTTCGGTCTCTCCGTAGTCTGATATCGGAATGATTTTTTGAATTCTTAATTGTGTGTGAAATCAAGTGTATCGAACTAAAAGTGGCCTGAATTCTCATATAGCCTGAGATATGTAGGAAACCCATCTTCGGGGTTCGGCCATAATTCCTGAAGTCCATACCGAAATCCCTTTCCGAAAGGATGAAGATGTGGTCGATCAAAATTGGATTCTTCAATTTCATTTTCCTCAGATTTCTTTCATCAATCCAAGTAAAATGAGGGACAATTGTTGACACCCAATTATGACCCTCTCCAACAATAATTAATTTCCGAGCTTCCTAAATTTCAAACAATTCGGAATAATTAGTTTATAGAATTTAAATATTTTTCAAGTTACTTCAAAAGGTAATTTTGTCATTTTTAATAATTTTGATAATTTTTTCAATTCTAAATATGTATATTTTTACAAGTGTGCATTAATTATGTCACTTTAAGAATTTCCAGAAAATCCTCTCAAAAAGATTTTATTTTTACTTAAATATTTATTTAACCTAATTTTTGTCTAAATTGGTAGTTTATATTTTTGAGTTTTTAGTTTTATTAAACTAATATTTTGTTTCGTTAAGATTAAGAAGCTTCTTAGTTAATCACATCAATTCGTCTTATTTAAATTACTGGTCGAGCTTATCCTAATCTACTAAGCTTGGCCACATTTTTAATTTCCATTTGGCTATAACATAAATCCCTATGGCCCAAGCTCAAATTCAATTCTAGCCTAATGATTTTAAGAGAAGAGATCAATTATTTGGGTCCATTTTCTCCTCCATTTTCCAGCAACATCATATACCAACAATACAAATAATTTCCCATCCCACTCTTCAACTCCGTGACCCAACCCACCTTCTGTATTTCTAAAAGAAACCCAGCCCAGACGTTCGGCAACAACTCACAAAGGCTATAACATAAATCCCTATGACCCAAGCTCAAATTCAATTCTAGCCTGATGATTTTAAGAGAAGAGAACAATTATTTGGGCCCATTTTCTCCTCCATTTTCCAGCAACACCATATACCAACAATACAAATAATTTTCCAGCCCACTCTTCAACTCCGTTACCCAGCCCACCTTCTGTATTTCTAAAAGAAACCCAACCCAGACATTCAACAGCAGCTCACAAAGGAAACAACGACAAAATAGAGTAACACACGCATCTTCGTCTACTCCAACGACATGAACAACAGACGCGTGAACAACACCCCGACCCCAGTACGCGATTCATCTCCCTCACGCAAGGGCGAGTTCACATAAGCCAAGCGATATCTACACGGAAGCATCGTCAATAGACGGAAAGCAAGTCCCAACGTCTCCAAAGACAGAGGACGCGTCTTCTCCCTCAAGCTAGTACGATCTTGCACAACTTTTTCCACGATTCCAGTTGTTGTTTCATTCTCGCCAGCACGAGATGATGCCACATCACGCACCGAGGACAATGAATCGATCAAAGTCATCTGTTTTCCCTTTCCTCTTCCGAAATGGGGTTGAAATTGTAGGAAATTGGGTGTTTCCCTTTAATGGTGAAAGATTTTTCGAGTTTGAATTTCTAATGGGACCAATTCCTATCCGGATTTCGTCTGTTTTCCCCCCCCCCCCCAAGTTTGGAACCCTAATAATCCCCTATATATATTCTCCTCTTATTCATTGTAAAGGGTTGGAGATTTTTAGTTTGAATTTTTGAGCGGAAATACAGAGAGCAACTTAAGTGAAAGTAATTTGATAATACTCCGAAAGAGAGAAAATTAACTCATTTAGGATATTTGTGTTATTTTCTTCTCGATGTCGTTCATTGCTCCGTCACAAGTTCCTTTGAACTCGAGGGAACTACTTGGATTTATGCCTAGGTTCTTTGTTTTGTTGTTCATACTCAAGGTCGTGCTTTGGTGGTGAAAATTTTCATGTTGATAATTTCTACTCGCTAGTGGTCTTAGATATATGTATGAATTTGGATTTAGGACTTGTCTAAATTTTGAGAGTAATTGATATGGCTAAACACAATAGTGCAGTAACATTCTTATTCTAATAGCTTATTTTATCTTTTTTCCTTAAATGTCTTTGTGGTCTCACTGCCTAATGTGACTTGTGTAAATCAAGTTTTTGTCTTCATGCTATTCGAATCTCAGTCGAAAATGCTC